AAACAAGGAAGGCACTTTATAGTCCATGTAATCAGTTCATGAGTGGCTTCAGCTGTGGGTGTTTGCAATCAGACAGGATCTAGGACAGGTGTGTGAGTGGTGCATGACTGGATCTTGTAGTTCTTTTGCAGGCAGACTCTGTTTACAAGTTTGTGAGCGTTTGAGTAGTTGCTGCTGTCATGTGATATGCCTTTAACGTGAAGGACTGTACCTCGCGTTGGTTTTATACAGATTATAAGCGTTTATTTTCATGTGTAGTAGGTTCATTTAAAAGTAGGGATTTCAAGCTTTATGTGAATATGTTTCTTATGTCTGTGAAGCAAGTATTTGCAGAGATTCCAGTGTGTTTGTCGACCACCAAACTGTCGTAAAAGCACACGTCTGATCCAAGTTTTTCCCCTCAAAAAACATCAGTCTTTAGCGATCGATGATTGGCTCCTTATTGGCGGGCCTCATTCGCCATATTAACAGTTACACTTTTCCCTATTCTAAACTATACGAGTGACATGTCTTGTGTATTCTATAGTTTTAGGTACTACATCTGCCATTTCACCATTATCACATGACCCACCTGTATTTGCACACTTGAAGAAACTCACTAGAAGTAGCAGGTCATCCATCATTCTCACCTTCTGTTTTCAAAAACAATGAATTCGGCTGTACTACCCAGACGGCTCACATGCTGTTTTTCTGCATGCTAAATAGTCGGGAAACATGCGATTTTTATTGCATCATAAGAGTTCATGACAACAGACCTGCAGTCAGTTCAGAATGAAATTGAATTGAGGAAGTTCAGGAGCATGATCAAGCTCAAACCGGTGCGCAATTGTGTCCAATTAAACTCTGTCTTCTTATATTGTGAACGGCAAGGGCAGTCTCTGAATCGTCAAGTGTATTATTGCAGTAAACACATATTACCCCTGTTTCATCAGACAAAGAAATTCTTCAAAAAGAACACAAAGAATGGCCTTCTCAGCTCCTCAATTCCTGCATAATCAGAGCGCCACATTTTACATTTGAAACACATCTTGCAACGTTTTGCTAGGATCAGGAGTGTTGAGTCACAGTAGAAACAGTCACGCTGTTTGCATGTTACACCTTCAGTTTTTACGGAGAGATCAGATGAGACACATCTGTTATGCAGGAAGAATAAAACACTCAATTTCTTGTTAATTGCGTAAGACACATATGCTGACATACAATTGCATCAACTCCTGCGGCTAATGTCTTTTTACATTTATAAATGTGTCTCCATCAAAGTCATTTGCATTTAAAATGACATGCAAATAAGTTCTGCTGGTATGTTTTTTACATGTGTGTTTTTATCTTCTTATATCTGCATAATCAAACAGACTGCAGACATGATTAGCAGGCTGTATTTGGTGCACCGGTTGCCAGTTTGGTTTCTTATCTAGGTCTCTGCCAAATGATTTATTCATTATTACATGTTGTTTGTTTCCATTTAATGTCAGGAAATGAGATGTTATCTGAACAATGACGAGTCTGCCGACAGTAGTTTTCGTCGGGGGAAAACAGAAATGCTCAAGCCATTAACACACGTCATCAATTTTTAATGCTTAGAAACTTGACTCATTTTAGTTAATCTTCTGGAACAAGTATGATGCTTGAAACCAACCATGAACATATGGGCATCATTTTTTTTCTCAAAAAGACTACGGTTAGAGACTTTTTGTTTGTGTCCATTGTGCTTATGTTTAATTAACGTTGTCTCACAGGGAACTGATTTTTATGGCTCTTTCAAGGTTTTTTGATTTAATTAGAAGACAGATTGCATGATGAGTGATTGAGGCCGGTTAATGAGTTTCAAGGAAGATGGAGGAGTAATTGGATGGAGGCTCTTGCAGAAACGTCTCCTACTGCTGTGGTTCACCCGGGATGACTTTTTCTTCTCTTAATTGCTTAAATTCCTGCTGTGCCAGCACTACCACAATCACTGGTATTCTTGCTATCTTGTAGTCTTGCATTTGAACATGCTGAATTAAATTTTTTGCTAAACTAGTATTTAAAGGGTCTAAATTGGTTTGTTGAATGTAGAAACCCTAGTTTCAGTGACCGGTGGTCATTTAGTGAACTGCAACCATTACATTTTTTGTTGATGAGACAGAATGTCATTTACTACCCTCATATGCTCAGGACAAAGATTCAGTTTTTAAAGTTACAGTTTTGATTATGGATGCGCGACATATCGGCGGCCATATCATTATCGGCCAATAAATTTTTAATGTTATCGTTGTCGATCTGATATCAAAATGAGGCCGATATCTTTATAAGCCGATAGATTACGTAATTGTACTGAACATGCTTTGGTCGAACCAGCTATTTTGGTTTTAATCGCCTCAGGAAAAATATTACATGTGCAAACATGATAGCAGTGATGCACACATGCTAAACAACTCGTTGGGTTGTTTGTAATCTAATATGATTATTTGTTCTTATCAACGCATGTGTTGTTGATGTAAGATTGTATTCAGCTTGATCGGCATATTTATAATTATTATAAATACACACATGATGGTTATTACCACGCACACACGCACTGACTAGTGAGCACTGTGTTTGTCATAAAGTCATCAGTGCTCAATGCTCAGGTGTTGTATCAAAATCTGACTCTGAGGACAACTCTGACTTTATTCCGCATTTTCCAAAGTAAAATATATTACCTGTATTTAGCTTTTCGCTTGTACAGTGTCTCTGAACTGTCAAAACACTTCTCAAAGTGCCTTTTCGGACATTATATATTTGAAGAACATTTAAACTGGTTTCATTTGTTTCATTTTACCTAAATCTATTTATTTTACTTGTTTTGTAATTAAATCTCATTTTGTTATTTAACCTATTATTACTAGTAACAGTCAAGTTGCATGTTAATTTGCTATGCAAAGAATAGGAACTCGTTTATTTTTGGCATGCTGATTTATGTAAAATCATAAATAGATTTTCATTTCATGAATTCTTTTGCTTTGAGTAGGCTCTTTTGTTCATAAGGTTAGTTCAAACGTTTATGTTGTTTTTAAAATAAAGTCAGTTGTTTACTGTATAAAAATATAAGATTTTGACACATATCCAATTACCAACAATACATGTCAATAAAACTTTTAGCAAAACTCTATTCATAATTAATATTAAACAGTTTGTTGTGCAGACATTTAGTTTATTAAAGTTTTTATTTTTAAAGAGTTTTTTTTAGTAGTATGTATACAATAGGGTCTGCTTGTTTTAACACGTTATTTAAATATGTGGCAAAGAAATAACTGATTAGAATTAGTTTTTTGACTGAGAAAGTAAAAAGAATTATTCTATTGGGCCATTTTTTTTAATCCGTAGCATTTATTTAAGCCCTATGTAAGTCTAAAATTTTATTAAACAAAAAATTACAATTTTTAAACTTAAAGTCTTAAATATGACTTGTTGAAACCTGCAGAAACCCTGAGAAATACACATAACATGATTGCTGAGAACTCATCACATGTATTTCGGAGCAGTCGCTGTCCAATTCCAAAGTGCTGAAATATTAGCTTAAATGAAATCAAATGCTAAATGTTTAACTCAATAATCTCAAGTCATCTCATGTAGATTAACAAAACAAGACAAGTCTACAGTATATAAAGTATCAATTGAGACACTGACAAAATGGCTTTTTACATTTAAGCTAAAGAACATAAGGTTTTGTGTAAGAAATGCCAAACACATGGATAGTTTTGAAAGTCATTGATTTTTTTTTTCATTTTATTGAGTTCATTGCCTTTTTACATGTATTTTTTACAGCATTTTATGCATGTATTTCTATTCCATTATATTTCTATTTTTCTGATTATTTTAATTATTTAATTTGTAAATGTAAAAAAAGTATAAAGTACAATGGAAATCTTTTATTTATAACCACACTGTACTTGAGTAAATTTACAAGTGCAATCTGTCTGTGACGTCAGAACTTTTTCTTCTTATGACGCACATAGCACTCTTACACTTATTCCAGTCATAGATCTGCAATGATTTTTCAGTTACGATGCTTTTGGGAAACCGATTGTAACGTTAAGATCAGTTGCATAATCATTTTTTACGATGTACACAGCTTTACAATGCCTCTGAGAAATGCAGCCCAGGTTGTGTGAGAGACTATAGTTTGAGATTAAAACCTTTTCTTTGCATTCACACTGACAAAAAGGATTCAAAGTTGATTTTTTGGATTTACAATTTTTTCAAAGATAAGTGCTTGTAAACTATTTATTTGGGCTGAATTTAAACAAACAAATTAAGTTGAACATTACTAAATTTAATTAGTTTAAATTCAAACCATATTCTGTAAATTGTTTGCAACCATTTTGCCTGTTACAGTACACGATAGCTCAGTTGCTCAAATTCTGAAAATTGTGCTGTACCCAAAAAAGTGCATTAATTAAGAACAAAAATAAAAACATACAAATGGTTTGAATCCTTGCCATTAATCTGATTATTGTAAAACTTCTTGACTCTCTTTTGTTTTTATTCAAGAGACCTAAAAAAGGTCATTTGCTGTTGAATTTGTTAACATGTAATTTACCTCACATTATTGTGACCCAGTCTGGTTGCACTGATTCTTTGTGTGAAACCTGAATACATTTTAAAATCAATAGATTTACACAGCTGAAATTCAACCTAATTGCCTCCCATTTATCACATTTACATCGATGTAATGATTTGATCTGCATTGCTCTTGTACTGCAGCTAAATATAGGCACTGAAGCAGACTTCGCTGGTAGGCTGCGTGCAGGATAATTCAGCTCTAACGTTTCCTGACAGAAAAACAAAACGTCTCAACCTAAAATCTCTGTACACCAGATCAAATGAAGATCTTTCAAGTGCACATGGGGAATGTGATTTAAACCATTGAGCTGAAAATGATCATTTTGACTCAACACAATGGTCAACAATAATGCCTCACTAACTTTTGAAGCACTAAAATAAGTTTTTCTCTGATAGAATGATTTCTCTTTTTGCAGGGTTTGGAAATGTTTCTCCACACACAGAAGGAGGCAGGATCTTCTGCATTATCTACGCCCTGTTGGGGATCCCACTCTTTGGCTTTCTCTTGGCTGGAGTGGGCGATCAGCTGGGAACCATATTTGGCAAAGGAATCGCCAAAGTGGAAAAGATGTTTGTGGTGAGTGTTTCATTTAATCTGGCTACAGTCATTACAGGGTTTTTGCAGGTTTTATGAAGGTACATTGTAGGAAATGATTCCTCATTTTATTTTTTTTAACATGTTTTGTAAGTTTCTGAATTTGTTCATTCAACTTAACATGGTAAGTATTCACTGTACTAACTAGTCTATAAGTTGACCTAAATAGAATGTTTGTTGTCTCAACTTAAAAACCTGTGCTGAGTTGATTTAGTCATAATAATTACATTGTAAGAAACATAATTTTGTAAAGACAATTATGTTGTAAGTAGATTGTGTGTAATTGTAACATTGAAAGTGAATCCAATGTGTAATATATTTGGTTGTCTGTGCTGTGGCTAATATGGAGATAATCTGCTAGATTAAGTTCAGTCAATTTGAATGTTTTTACTGATAACTTAGAAATGTAAGTTAATGTATTTAAACTAAACTTGGCAAGTTCTGCTTACTTGAATATGTAAGTTAACCTATTAAAACTAAACTTTGCAAGTCAAGTTTACTTGAAATTTGTAGTTGGATCAATTATTTAACTTTGTCAAGTAAACATTTTAAATTGAAAATACTAAAGTAAGAGAATGAAGTAAACAAAACTTACTGTAACTGAGTCAAAGCAAAATATAACTAATTATATGAGGAAAATATAATGAATAACATGTCCTTTAAGTTATTGTTTTAAATCACTCAAATTTATTTACTTTAAGGTTTGAAATTACCTTCATACTTTACCTTAAGATAACACTGTGAAAAAGTTTTTTCTCAGGATTTATTGTCTTGTCCTCTACTGCAAAAATCTAAGTGAAGTTTATAAACTAATTTTGAAAGGACCGCATGCTTAAGATTGTCCACGGCTGGTATCACATTAGCTAACACATGATTTACAAATCAGATGATTCATAACTCACTGTAAATAACCAGAGTTTCTGACCTCAGTATCATTGTCTTGAAGAATCCCCCCTCCTACCCAAACTCCTTTTCCTAGATTGGGCGACACAGTGGTCTAGTGATTAGCACTGTTGCCTCACTGCAAGAATGTCACTGGTTAAAAGTCCTTACTTGACCAGTCGACATTTCTGTGCGGAGTTTGCATGTTCTCCCCTTTGCTTGCGTGGGTTTTTTCCTGAGTATCCCAGTTTCCTCCCACAGTCCAAAAACATACAATATAAGTAATTTGACCACATCAAATCGGCACTAGGTGACGCAGTGGCGCAGTAGGTAGTGCTGTCGCCTCACAGCAAGAAGGTCGTTGGTTCGAGCCTCGGCTGGGTCAGTTGGCATTTCTGTGTGGAGTTTGAGTTCTCCCTGCGTTCGCGTGGGTTTGCTCCGGGGTGCTTCGGTTTACCCCATAGTCCAAAGACATGCGGTACAGGTGTATTGGGTAGGCTAAATTGTCCGTAGTGTATGAATGTGAATGAGTGTCTGTGAATGTTTCCCAGAGATGGGTTGCGGCTGGAAGGACATACGCTGCTTGAAAACGTGCTGGATAAGTTGGTGGTTCATTCCGCTGTTGCGACCCCGGATTAATAAAGGGACTAAGCCGAGAAGAAAATGAATCAAAATGGCACTATAAACGAGCCCCCCTTCCTCAGTTTGATATGGAAAACAGACTATACCGAGGACACGGGTAAATCTTCTAAAGGAACAGTGTACTTTATAACTTCATTCACATCATCCTGGCTACGTTGTTTCACTTTCTCAACAATAAAATGTAAAATTGATTAAAGCAACTGCCTATTTTTATTTTGATATTAGCAACTTAACAGACAGCAGAAATTTTGAGGCGTTGTGCTGCATATATGAGCGTCATCTTCACTGTATTGATATTTATAACAACTATAACAATCTATTAACAATCTATAACAACTGCCTTCTTTCAATTTCAGTGAAAATACGAAACATACCCTCTCTTTTGCTGAATATCAGTTTTAATAATCGATAATGGCCATTATAAAAGTATAACATACAATAAGCTTATGTATAGGAAATAAAAGCAAGCGATCAGTCGATATACAGAATGTAGGCTACGTGATTACATTAATCATTAACTTAATACTAAATACTAAATATTTTTAAGACGTTCAATGGTGAAATGGCTTTTGTAAGAACTACAGAAACCTTAAATTAGCAAAACAAGCCAAATTACTTTCACTCAATATAATACACTTACTGTGAGAATAATCTAAATGATAATCATTTTACTTGTGCAGCATTTTCATGCATTCATAATAAGTGTCACTGACATTTTACACAGTGACCTGAATGTCAAAACCTTTTCAAGTTAAAACAAAAGATACATTCTTTCACACATAAAAACTTAATGTGAAATGTCCACCATTTCAAGCCAAAAGCTTACAGCTAAGCAATTTATTTAGATTTAGAAAAACAGTCTGTACACCTTTAATCAGAAATGCAGTATTTGTCTTCTCTCTCTAGATTCCCTGAGGATCTGAAATAATGATTGTTTTGCAGAAATGCTTGCTGACTACTATTAGCCGTATTCTGTGCTGCAGAGCATTCAGTCACTTTTGATGATTCGCTGTAATCACTTAAGTGCTTCTGGTGGCCATCTTGTCTACACTCGTTGCACATACACACTCACGGTTTCTGCTGAGCTGCTGTGTTTTTTGCGCAGAAACAATCTGGGGCGTTGATGTGTGTACAATGAACAGCAATGCTACATTTTGTTTCTCAGAAGTCAATGCGGCACAGTCAATTATTTATTGCTGGTGCACTCATTTTTGTGTGTGCTGCATAGTGAACACAATTTCTTAAAGGTTGCATGAAAAAATCTTTTATTTTTTTTATGTCGACCATTTATTTTTCAAACTCTACGACAGCTCTGTGTTTTTATGTTTTTATTAACTGTTGAATCGTGCTGGTTGGTTGTAGTATTTAATTATACAAAAGTCTGTGTTGTGCAAAAAAATCTGTTTTCACTTTTTTGTTGTTGTTGTTGTTGTTGTTCTTGTTGTTTATCATCTCGAGATCAGTTCTAATCCTGTTTTTAATTGTTGTATATTCTAATTGTAATTGTGTATCTGCTAAAAAATCGTCAATCTAGTGCAAATCAACTAAAGTCTGTATGATTTATGATCTTTTGATGAATGACCATTATGTTTAGTCCAAAGCAGACTTATCAAATCTGCTAGTTTGATAAGTTTTTGCTCACACACAATTTTCAAGTATTTATCAAGTGTATACACAGTTGAAGTCAGAATTATTAGCCCCCCTGAATTTATAGCCCCCCTGTTATTTTTTCCCCCAATTTCTGCTTAACAGAGAGAAGATTTTTTTAAACACATTTATAATTATAATAGTTTTAATTACTCATTTCCAATAACTGATTGATTTTATCTTTGCCATGATGACAGTAAATAATATTTGACTAGATATTTTTCAAGACATTTCTATATATATTATGATGATAGTGATTCAAAAAGAATACCACAGCTTTCGGGTTGATGTGACTCACGGGTCTGGAGGGGGTCATATTGAACATCTATGAACTTATTTTCTACTGAAAAAAACTTGAAGTACTCTTCACATTGATTACTTCCCCAAAGTTCTATCATATTTCTTTGATTGAATACAGATTTTTCTTTTTTTTAATTACTATATATATATATATATATATATATATATATATATATATATATATATATACAATTAAACTCTATTTCTAAGCATAATAGTTATAATAATTCATTTCTAATAACTGATTTATTTTGTCTTTGCCATGATGACAGAAAATAATATTTGACTAGATATTTTTCAAGACACTTCTATACAGCTTAAAGTGTTTTTTAAAGGCTTAACTAGGGAAACTAGGCAGGTTAGGGTAATTAGGCAAGTGGTTGTATAACTATGGTTTGTTCTGTAGACTATTGAAAAAAATTAGCTTAAAGGGGCTAATAATTTTGAACTTAAAATGGTGTATAAAAAATTACAAACAGCTTTTATTCTAGCCAAAATAAAACAAATAAGACTTTCTCCTTTTTTTTGGTGGTTTTGTTTATTTTTTTTTTCATCTTTTCATCTGTTCTTTGTTTTCAGTTTTTTTCTTTTATATATATATATAAAATATATATAGAAAAAGGGGGGGGGGGATGGGTAGTTGATAAATAAATAAATAAATTTCAATATCAAGGCAATAACTACAACAAAGCCCCTGGCAGCATTTCAAAGATCAAGTAAGTATGTTTCGATTAATGCCCAGGTCTATTATTTTTTATATATAAATTTTTTACCTTGTAGAATGTTTTTTGTATGTCTCATCATGTCATGTTTGGCAGTGTACACTAGGTATCAGGCATTGCATAAGAATGAATGTTTCTGGTTAATTATTGTGGATTATTGTATAATGAGCTTAAACCTTATGTTCTGTTCATGATGATTTTTTCTCTACTCTAGAGTGGTTTTGAAACTTAATTTGGCCGCAACATTCTTTGTGTTTTAGCAAATGGAATGATTTTTGATCAAATATTATTTTGAAACATATTTTGGAAAAATCTTGGCAGGATTTGGCAAATTTACTACCCTTCGTTATGTTCGTGGTTGTTTTTTCCCAATGACTTCAATTATAATCATATTTTTTGACTGCTATATATATATATATATATATATATATCATGCATTCTTGATTGTTGCTGGTTTTCCCTGTTGGGAAGAGGTAAAATTTGTCATTTTTACTGTTGATCATAATGTAAGAATGTAAATTTAAACAGTACACAAGGGTTAAATGTCTATTTCTACATTCTCACCTTACGTCTGCTCTCTTTTTACCTTCAGAAATGGAACGTGAGCCAGACTAAAATCCGTGTGACGTCCACAGTCCTCTTCATCCTGTTCGGGTGTCTTCTGTTTGTGGCTCTTCCTGCCCTTATCTTCCAGCACATTGAAGGCTGGAGCGCTCTCGAGTCCATCTACTTTGTTGTCATCACTTTGACCACAATTGGATTCGGAGACTTTGTGGCAGGTAAATAAAGTTGGATTCTTCATAGTTTCCAAAATAAGCTGGCATTATTAAAGTTTAGTCCTGAGTTCAGTGAGTTGATGTGGATTTATTTATCTCATTCAGGGGGCTCGGAGATTGAATATCTGGACTATTATAAGCCCATCGTATGGTTCTGGATCCTGGTGGGTCTTGCGTACTTTGCTGCTGTTCTCAGTATGATTGGAGACTGGCTTCGGGTCATCTCCAAAAAGACCAAAGAGGAGGTTTGTGCTTACAGATAGGCTTCCAGGCAATGACACTTCTGTTCTACACCATGGAGAGAAACATGAATTTTTATAAAAGGCTTTATCTCAGTGTGCGTGCTCGTGTGAATTGAAATAGCCACAAACCACAGGATCTTGAAGTGGAAAATAGATTGGACACAATCACACAACAGGCTTTTGTTTGTCCAACATAACAAAATGGAAATATGTTAGATCAGTGTAGATCTGTGTAACTAACTAACATACAAACATATGAACGCACAAACAAACAAATTGATAAATAAATGTCATAGTTTGCATTTTTGCCTATTAAATGCTGAAACTGATGGATTTTAAATATAGAGTACATATGGTGTTTACACGGTTTATGATCATCTCTATTTATTGCTTTTTTTTTTACATTGCTAGGAAATAAAAACCAAATAAAAATAGAGCTAAATTCATTAATGATTACTACAGTGTATATGACAAATGATTGTGATAAAAAAATTATATATATATATATATATATATATATATATATATATATATATATATATATATATATATATATATATATATTACAATTTTGTATTTGTAATAAGCATGTTAAATTTTTGTTGGTTTAATTTTATTATTAAACTCTTTTTAAAAGAAATATACTAATTTTTATTAATTTTCTACATCAAATATATGCAGTTCTTTTGAAATGCTGTTCCTTTGAATTTGGAAAATGTATCCTCAAAAATTTCAATCAAATAAATGTGTCTTTTAAAAAATATTTTTTGACTTTAAAAAACATTTTTAAAATATGTTATATTTGTGTTTTACATTGAAAAAAACTAGGTCGTTGATAAAATTCCTGAATTTCATTATATTTTTAAGAAATTCTGAAATCAGTATGAGACCTACACTCACCGGCCACATTATTAGGTACACCTTACTAGTACCAGATTGGACCAACCTTTGCCTTCAAAACCACCTTAATCATTCGGGGCATAGATTCATCAAGGCACTGGAAATATTTCTCAGAGATTTTGGTCCATTTTGACTTGATAGCATCACACAGTTGCTGCAAATTTGTCGGCTGCATATCCATGATGCGAATCTCTACCATCTGAATTCCGTAGCAGAAATCGAGACTCATCAGACCAGGCAACGCTTTTCCAATCTTCTATTGTCCAATTTTGGTGAGCCTGTGTGAATTGTAGCCTCAATTTCCTTTGCTTTGCTGACAGAAGTGGCATCTGGTGTGGTCTTCTGCAGCTGTAGCCCATCCACCTCAAGGCTCGACATGTTGTGCGTTCAGAGATGCTCTTCTGCATACCTCAGTTGTAATGAATACTTATTGAGTTACTGTTGCCTGTCTATCAGCTCAAACCAGTCTGGCCATTCTCCTCTGACCTATGGCATCAACAAGGCATTTGCGCCTACAGAACTGCCACTCACTGGATATATTCTCATTTTCGGACTATTCTCTGTAAACCCTGGAGATAGTTGTGAGTTAACAATCCCAGTTGATTAGCAGTTTCTGAAATACCAAGACTAACCCATCTGACACCAACAACAGCTCGGTTTGAACTGCCGCAGTTCATCTTGATCATGTATACATGCCTAAATGTATGGAGTTTCTGCCATTTGATTGGCTGAATAAATATTTGCATTAACCAGCAGTTGGACAGGTGTACCTAATAAAGTGGCCGGTGAGTGTATTTAAAAAAAATCCAGGAATTATATTTGTAATTTAAGAGTATTTAAATTCAAACATAAACACTATTTTCTGTACATACAAACGTTTGCCAGGAAGTTACATCACTACACTTTCCACCATAGCTACACCTCACAAAAGGTTACACACACTTAATTTACTGCATACTGAACAAAGTTACTTAACTTTATTGCTTATTTTGCATTTTCATAAAGATCAGGCTCACACTAGTATACTTTATTAGTCCAGAATGAACTGTTCCAGATCATGTGTAGGAGTTCATTATGCGCTATTGTGGCTATGTTTGCTAGCACACAGATTAGCGCTGTGTTATTAACTTTCATTTACTCTAGTGTAAGAAGGGAAATGAATGGGAATGATGTGCGTGGATTCGCTGGTACTGAAGGTTTGTTCTGGCTGAGATACACTATGATGTATTTTCTTGTGCTTATTGATGAGATGAGTGCAATTTGCTGACATCATATTGTAGGAGCACAAGAGACGCGATTAGTTTTATGTTCAGAGCTGAAGTAGATTTGTCAAGTAGCACCAGTGTAATTGGGCAGTTTGCTGAAAATCTAAACTTGGAAATGTGTCACACTGAAGTCCATCAACACTTCACATGGGAAATAGAAGTGAACAAATGTGTAGTGTAGTATTAATATGAATGAAAGGTCTGAATGACCCAGATCTGCCACCTGATTCTCACCCTTAATGCATCACCTTAAATGCTGTTAACACACTGTGTAATGCAGCACATGCTATTATTTTTCTGCATCAGGAATAAACTTTTCACGGCTCCTTTAGGAACAAAATCAAACTACCCTGTACCTCATTAGAGATTGAAGCAAAGTTTCTGTTTTTTTTTTTGTTTTTTTGTACATTTTCTCTATTTTTTATCCTTCTACAACTGCTGAAGAAAATTGTTTCACAGGTCATCAATGCTTGTTGTTGTGACATGGTTGTTACACTTCTGCATTATTTTTCTAGTAATACATTGGCCCAGAATCTCAGTATGAGTCTTGACCAGTGGTAGGGAACCTGTGGCTCTTTGACCAAAATATGTGGCTCTCCAGCTGTCTCCCTTCACAAATATTTTACAGTTTAAAACAATTATAACTGTCACTAGAAATCAGTTTCCTTTTGAAAATACAATTACAATTGTCTTTTTTCATTTTTTTGTTTTTGTACATAAAATGAATAAAAACTACCATAAAAAGAAGATTTAACCATTGGACGTGTGTAGTGCTGTGAATAAACCTGGCAACACCAATAAAGAGCAAATAACTATGTGTGCACGTAATTACCAACATAAGATGTTTGCTCTTTATTTTCTAAATATTGTGGTGGTGGTTTTAGTGATTGATTGGTCGACTGGTTGGTTGATTAGTTGTTTGATTAATTGGCTGATTGATTAGTTGGTCGATTAGTTAATTGGTTGGTAGTTGGTTGGCTGATTGATTGTTTGGTTTGTTGTTGGTTGGCTGATTGATTAGTTGGTTAAATAGTTTGTGATTGCTTGATTGATCGCTTGCTTGATTGCTTGATTGCTTGATTGATTGATTGATTGATTGATTGATTGGTGATGGATTGGTGATGGATTAGTTTATTGATTATTTAAAGCCTTATATTGTAATTGTTGTTGTATAGAGGCAACACTATCAAGCATGCCACCCACTATGCAAAAAAACGAACAAACAAAAAAACAAAAAAAGAGTTCAAAATTTGGAAAGCAAAGACACAAAATTAGACGAGATAATTTAACAGTGGACTGCTTTACCTCTGCACATGATGGATGACTTGTATGGTTTTACACAGCAGAACATGCAGTCTTTAATACTCCCAGTTGCACTGAGGCTGAATCAGCCCACATGCTTCACATTCCCTCGAGCTGAAGCATTTTCACAGAAAACAGGTTTTTCAGAATTGTGATTTGCACCTCCTAAATGTTTCTGAACACATGTGACACTTGAGTGCATCTGGTCCCACTGAACATTCCCTCTGTTGCAGGTGGGAGAGTTTCGTGCTCACGCTGCAGAATGGACGGCTAACGTGTCCGCTGAGTTCAAAGAGACGCGCCGACGCCTGAGCGTGGAAATCTATGACAAGTTTCAGCGGGCCGCGTACATCAAACGCAAGCTGTCATCAGAGCTGGGCCAAAACCCAGGCCAGGACATGATGCCATGCAAGCGAACCCTGTCTGTAAACTTCACAGATGAACTGGAGAAGGAAGGTCTCCCTACTTTGACCAAAAACGGCAGTCTCTATCTGAATGGGCTTACTCCAGACTGTCCCGATTGCAGTGAGATTTCCATCATTGAACATCTCAAATAAGCCTCCCGAGCACATACTAAAATGTAAGCAGAGGAAGATGCGTTTGAGTCTACAGCGGTGTTTTCTCACAGAGCTATCGGAAACTTTCATGTCTTTCCTGGATGTACACAGATACAGTTTTCAACGTACTGAACTCAGAAAGAGCGTGACTTTATGTGCCAGTCAAACGAATCATTTTTTTATAAGAGATGTTTAAAAGAAGTCTGTGTTACTGAAAAGGAAATCATATTTGTGCCTTAAAACCCACCAGGAAAAGACTTCCCAGAAGCTGCTACACTGGATCCTGTGGATAAATGAAATGTATTGTGTTTTTAAGAGATTGAAACAGCAGTCTTGTCTAAACATCAACCAACTTAGGAAGCGTTTACACATCTAAACAACTTTTTTTTGTAACTCATATTGCTTAGTTTACATGACAACAATAAAAGCAAGCTGATAATGGTTTTCATAGTTCATTTTTAAAAAGCACATTGTTATTATCTGCGTAACTAGTCTTGATATTGATCATCGCTATAAAGGGCCGTGCACACCGAGACGATTTTTGCTTGTGTTTTCCGTCGATGTTTAACGCCTCATGACTAAATAAAGGGGGTTGATGTGATCGTGCACACCAAAGCGCAAAACGACAGGCGTAAAAGCATAATTGAAAAAAAAGCCCTCATGCTCGTTTTTTTTTTTTTTTTTGGTTTAACACAACCTTCTCTACCAATTAGGTTGACACTTTTGTCATCTAACCATCTAACGTCAAGGAGTGATTTTGCATACTCTTCTGCTCGACGCCAATCGAAAATCGAAAAGCGCCCCACAGTGCCTTTACACTGTAAAAAATTGCTTAGGATTGTTGTCCTAACACACACTCAATATTTATTTATTTTTTTGCTGCTTGTTTAAACTACTTATTTAAAATGAGCTGAAACAACACAATTCTTAAGATTTCATTTGGACAACTTAATTTTTACATTTATTTTCATGTTCAATCTACGTAAATTTGTTAAAAGTGTTAAGTTAACTTAATCAGTTTGTGTTGGGACAACATGAATGAATTGTGTGGAACCCTGCATTTTTTTACAGTGCAAATAGATTAAGTTAACTATAAAAATATAAGTGGATTGAACATAAATCAAGGAAGTTGTCTAAAAAAATCTCAAGAATTATGTTGTTTCGGCTCATTTTAAATAGGTAGTTTGAATAAACAACATAATATTTTATTTGAATGTGGATAGCTCTTGATTTCATTTATTACTCAAATAGATTTTTGCTAGTCGCACGTTTCTATTGACATTTATTTGAATTACAAAGCTCTACAAATTCAATTCATTTCCCAGAGATGGGTTGCGGCAGGAAGGGCATCCTCTGCGTAAAAATGTGCTAGATAAGTTGGCGGTTCATTCCGCTGTGGCGACCAAGGATTAATAAAGGGACTAAGCCGAAAAGAAAATGAATGAATGAATGAAATTCACTTCAAGAGCTCTCTAAATTAATTGGTACTAGTAACACATTTAAAATACAGATCTCTACAATTGAATTAGGTGTAAATTAAATGTTTTACTAGTAAAAGTGAATAATAGAGCTATGTAAATACATTTTTACTATTAAATGACTACTGTCTAATTGTATGTAATGCAAGATGAATTAAAGAGATCTATGATTGGAGCCAAAATCATTTAGAAAGCTGTCAAACTCCCTCCAATTGTAATTCTACTAGTAAAATTCAATTGCAGAGCTCTAATTGAAAACAGACTGGAAGTCAATGGAGATGCACGACTAGTACAAGTTATTTCATAGATTGAACAAAGGAACAAAAGAGCTATCTGCTTGTGATTGTCGCTAGCAAGAAGTGATTTATAGAGCTCTCTGTATAACATTGTTACTAGTAAGGATTTAACAAGTAACACTGAGAACAGTAACACTGAGACAACAGTGGAAACATCAAATCTATCACAGACACATAGTGTTTCTTTACATACTGACATCACTAATTACTGGCCTGTACGCATAATATGGGAAACATTGACTTTTTAGCACATTGTTGTCATGTAAACTCTTAATTGTTTTTTGGACTGTATCCCAAAGTCAGCATATGTTTCTGTTTATAAACTATAACAGGGTATCTGAGTTTATGATATTGCCACAGCTGTAATTGGTGGAAGATGAGTTTCATTTATATCTTGCATTAGCACTTGTTGATAAAATGAAAGAATCCGTTTGAGAGCAGTTGCGACTGAAATGGCTTTGAAAAGCTTTCAGTTGTTTTATTTTTTTATTGCTATATGAAACAGAAGCATGATGCTGTAAGAAAATGCTTATTTTTGACACAATTGATTCAAATTGTTCATATGATCATTACACAATGATTAATTAGTAGTTCTATGATAATTAAGAATATGTTGTGTGTTAATGCAATGTATAAATGTATTTCTATTGCATACTTTTTAACATTGTGTAACAGTTCTATTGGCCTTCAGCCTGCATGAGGTTTAAAATGAGATTTTTCTAGAAAAGGTATACACTACCTGACAAAAAGTCTTGTCACCTATCCAAGTTTTAGGAACAACAAACAATAACTTGACGTCTAGTTGATTATTTGGTATCAGAAGTGGCTTATATGAAGGGCAAAGCCTCTAGATTACACTTATTTTACCAAAGTAAAATATGCCTTGATTTTTGATTATTTATTAGGACAGTAAGGTTTAACTTTGCTTAGACAAAAGTCTTGTCACTTCATAGAAATAATGTACAGTATAGAATATAAAGTCATGGTTAAGTGGGAAAAGAATAAATATTGTGCATGACTGCCATGAGCTTGGACGACTGCATCCACACATCTCTACAGCAAAGAAAGCATTCTTGCAGGACTCCCACAGTTCATCAAGACTTTTTGAATTCATCTTCAATGCCTCCTCATTCATCTTACCCCAGACATGCTCAATAATGTTCATATCTGATGACTGGGCTGGCCAATCCTGGAGCACCTTGACCTCCTTTGCCTTTAGGAACTTTGATGTGGAGGCTGACGTATGAGAAAGAGCGCTATCCTGCTGAAGAATTTGCCCTCTCCTGTGGTTTGTAATGGGCAGCACAAATGTGGTGATACCTCAGGCTGTTACTCTGCAGATCTCTCGCACACCCCCATACTGAATGTAACCCCAAACCATGATTTTTCCTTCACCAAACTTGACTGATATCTGTGAGAATCTTGGGTCCATGCGGGTTCCAGTAGGTCTTCTGCAGTATTTGTGATGATTGGGATGCAGTTCAACAGATGATTCATTAGAAAATCTAGCTTCTGCCACTTTTCCAAATGATCAACTAGAAGTCAAGTTATTATTTGTTGCTCTTACAACTGAGATCAATGACAAGACTTTTGTCAGGTAGTGTATTCGGTCATCATTTATTCACCATCAGAGAATGTTATTAAAATAATAAAACTAAAACAATTGTATTCATTGGAATGCAATAAACTATATATTTTTTTATTTGAATCTTAAGTGAATCCGTTAAAAACTCTATTGAACATGTAATTTTGCCTGAAATTACAGGATTAAATGATGACAAAATGATGATACTTTTTTTCTCCTTAAATTCGCATCATTTAATGCCAAATGTAACTTGATGACTAAAGAGAAAAATGGCCAAAGAGAATGTGTTTTATTTCTGCTTATGAAAAAAAGCTATGACTTTTCAGACTGTTTAGTTACGATTTGTTTCATAGTTTAAATAATAATAGCATACATTTGCCAAAACGTGCTGCTTATAGGACTAAATGTACATGAGGGATGTCCTTGAATGTTCTGTCAAATACATGTAGGTCAAAAATGTATCATAACAAAGTAACCTGCATACAATCCGCTTGTTAAGTGTGACGTCACGTGGAGCGACTTCTGGGTCCAAGCGCTCTATTCAACTGAATGGGGAGATTCATGAAATGGTAATAATAAACGTTTACAAAGCGATTTAATACTTTCGAAAGTCACGATCGCAATATGTCCATGCCTAATATCCGATGGCCAGAAAGTGATTCATTGTTTTATAAATTGTTAAAATTTTGGTATTTGTTATGCAGCAAGCCCAGAGATTGTTGTGAACACTATGACTTCATGTAAAATTAACTTTAATGTGTGATAGGAATAAAAAGTGATAATAAACGAATGATTTCTCCACTCAAGTGAATGGCGGCTTGGACCCGGAAACAGTATTACATACGTCACAAACACGTCACCACTTAACAAGCAGATTACATGCAGTGGACTGAGAAATCAAGTGGACAAAACCTATTTTTATTTGACATTTTGTTTGTTTGTTTGTTTATTATAGCATAAATTGAAACCGAAAGACAGTATGTAGCATCTCCTTGTAGTGTAATATAAGATTTGCATTGATAGATTTCTACGGAAAGATTTCAAACACCAGCTAAACGTTGAACTCATGACACTTTTTCAATGTAAAAATGCCATTTATTCGAGTAAGGAATATGCATATCTGTGTGGTGATGTTTTCTGCTTTAAAAACGATCTATTTTTCACAATGTTCTTGCCTTCAAGCGTTTGATTTCTCTGTTGATTGTCAGAAGAGCAGCGCCATACTAACTGTAATGACAGTGTTCATCTTGCCTTTGCTCTGTCTTCACCGCTAAACTGCTCAAATTCTTGCTTGTCAAGCTTGAATCTATCTTGTTATGCTAATATCTTTGTATTTTTTTAACTGCATTTTACAAGCACTTCCTGAGCGTTGTTTGTGATGTTTATACACTGTTTTACATCTCGGTGCTTTGCCTTTAAATAAAGCAAAACCAAAATTCTTATTCTTCAGTAGACTGAGTTTTTTTTTATGTCTAGTAATAATTTTATGTCTACTTTTTGTGTGTAGTATTGTTTATGAATACTTAAATTTTTTATTCAGGCTGTAAAAGCCATTCTGTCAGCATTTACTCATCATCATCATTCCAATACAGAGATAGATAATAACAATTCACTTTTTCACTTTTTTTTCGTTTTTTTTTTGCCTCTTTGCAAAACAAATTTTCCACATGTACCTCTATATACAATTCTGGAGAACACCAAATACGTGCCAGGAGCTATGTTTTGTTGCTCTTTTTGTTTTTGCGAATCCACCGGAGGCCGATGTGTGTGTTTTTTGAGATCTCAAATTTCTTCTTGTCAAATTTTTTTTGAGAATGCGGAAAAATCAAAATATTTACACGTGCGTGAAATTATAACGCACAAAACTGTGAATGTAATGAAGTATACGGCCTCCTGGCCAGCAGGAAGAAGGAGGCGGAAAACCCCACCACCCGCAAGACCAATATGAGACAGGCCAAGAGAAAAGGAGATGGAAAAAAAGCAAGAGGAAAGACTCTAAAAAAAATTCTTGGGTTTCGGTTTTTCCGACACATTGTCTTCTGGTCCTCCACCAGCTGAGAGATTGGTTATATGCTGGGTCCCTGTGAAGGAATTTTTCCACCTGCAAATCTTTTTGGCTTCAGGCGGCAGCTCTGCGCGTGGCGGCATTCCCGGGCTCCTGCTCAACTCCCTCTTCAGTGGCCGGTAGTAGGCTTCGGCATCTTGGCAGATCACGGCGACTCCCCGGTCTTCCTGCTCCTTTCAGCTCTTTCCCACACGGTGGTGAGCCCCGCGTCCCCTGCTCCTCCCCATGTTGGAAGTCAGCACCAGGCAGACTCTTTGCTCACCAACCCCTGGCCGCCCCGCTGCTCTCAGCAGACGGGTTCATTTCCCACTCGGGTTCACTCCCGAACACTCACCCCTCTCAGTGGCGAGGGTGTCTGGACAACGTGTCCCTCCTTTACCTGGGTTTTTGCACCACATGAAGTTCACGGCCACCTGACAAGGAGGCAGAGAACCGACAAACTTTTAATAAGTTTTAACGAAAAAAAACAAACAGACGGAAG